GCTTCGTCTAGGCCCTCCATTTTCTCTACCCCAAATTTAGTTTCTTTAGTCTCAATATAGCATTTTTAAGTAACAATGGCAGTGAAAGGAACAAAAGCAGAGAAGAAGATCGTTTACGATTCGAAGCTTTGTCAGCTTTTGAATGAGTACCCTCAGATTCTTGTCGTTGCAGCTGACAATGTTGGATCAACTCAGCTTCAAAACATTCGAAAAGGTTTACGAGGTGATTCAGTTGTTCTAATGGGGAAAAACACAATGATGAAGAGATCTGTGAGGCTCCATGCTGATAAAACTGGCAATAAAGCTTTCCTCAATCTCCTTCCTCTTCTTCAGGTTTCATTTCTCTTCTCTTGAATAGTTTGTTTTCATTTGGATATAAAGTTTTGATTTTTTGGTTCTGTGGAGAATTTGATTTGGTTTGCTGTTGAATGTTTGTAACAGGGGAATGTTGGGTTGATCTTCACTAAGGGTGACTTGAAGGAAGTCAGTGAAGAGGTTGCTAAGTACAAGGTTTGTTTTTTGGCTACATTGATGTTATTGTTGTTGTTATCAAGATAGTGAAAGTATGGATTGGTAGCTTGGTTAGTTTTATGCTTTATCTTGCTTGAGATTATTATCTTGGAGAGTGAAAGTTTGTATTTTTGGGTTTAAAATGGAATCATATGTGTTTTTGCTTAAAATGCAGCCACATTCCAATAGGGTAATTGAGATTATTTTGGTTCATTGAGCTTTGCGGAGATTACATTTTCATTGATTGGTTTATTGCTTAGCTTGTACTGTTAATTGATTTGGTTAGTTTATGATCATCCTTTAACCTATTGCTTTAGGTTATTAACTTTTAAGGTGAATAGTTAATAAGTTTAAATTGGAATTCAAAACCCCTTTTGTTGTCTTGATTGGATTTGAGGGTCTACTAGTTTCTTAGGCTCATATTTTTGTAGCTTCCTTCATGTTGTTTGATTGATTGATTTTTTAAAACTTACCCTTGTACTGTGTTAATTGATGAGAAATTCAATGTCCTGTTTTTGACAGGTTGGAGCTCCTGCTCGTGTAGGTTTAGTCGCGCCAATTGATGTGGTTGTGCAACCAGGCAACACTGGTCTTGACCCTTCACAGACCTCTTTCTTCCAGGTGCTTAACATTCCAACCAAAATCAACAAAGGTACGGTTGAGATCATAACCCCTGTGGAGCTCATCAAGAAAGGTGACAAAGTCGGTTCATCTGAGGCTGCGCTTCTAGCCAAGCTTGGAATCAGGCCATTCTCTTATGGCCTCGTCGTTGAGTCAGTCTACGATAATGGCTCAGTGTTTAACCCTGAAGTGCTTAACCTCACTGAAGACGACCTTGTTGAGAAGTTTGCAGCTGGTGTCTCGATGATCACCGCAATTTCTCTTGCAATCTCTTACCCAACCGTAGCAGCTGCGCCTCACATGTTCCTCAATGCTTACAAGAATGTTCTTGCCGTTGCCTTAGCCACTGAGTATTCTTTCCCTCAGGCTGAGAATGTGAAGGAGTTCCTAAAGGTTTGTCCTTTACGTTTTTGCGTTTCAGATTTTGGGATTAGTTGTCATGAAATTGTTTGTTAATTGTACATGATCCAACCAAGTTTGCAGTTGCAGCGGCTGCACCGGTTTTAGGAGAGTCTTGTGGAGCTGTTGTGGCAGTAGCTGTGGAGGAAGAAGCTGCAGAAGAGTCTGATGAGGACATGGGATTCGATTTGTTCGGTTAAAATACACCTGTCTTATCTTTTGCCAATTTAGATTTCGATCTGTTCGTCTAAAATAAGCAAGTCTTAGCCTTTCCTATTTATTTTTTATGGACCTTTTAAATTTTCACGTTCAGAATTTCATTGTTGCACGTTTATGGATATTTTGTTTTTTCATCAAATATACCTTTCTGGTTTTAATTTCTCAAACGGAAATGTTAAATTGCGAATCCCCCATGTAATTTGCTTACAACTGAACTACCCACTCAAGCATCACTAGTAATCTTTTGTTTAATTATACTTGCTTACTATTATTTTTTGTTTGTTTTAGCTTGCTTACTATTATTTTTTGTTTGTTTTAGCATAAAACCAACGTATATAAAGGCATGAACGTTTCCCTACTACACCCACCGCACGTGTCCAAATGTATGGAGTCTAGACTATTGCTTATCATAGTTGCACGAAAATTTTGTACAACTATTGTGACAAATTTGAAAATATTTCACTCCAAAGAATAGTATAATTATAAGATGTTTTCATGTTCCCAATACATTAAATTTCGTAAGACTATTTAAATAATTCCGTAGATATTTGGTTAAAAATCCTATAAGTTGACTCAAATTCGGCAATTCCGATGTTGGGACTGCTTTTTTTATCCTTTCATACATAACTTGTTGAAACAATTCTCAGAATGATATGGGATATAACAACGGATAAGTTTTATGTATTGGTTAGAATTGCATGACGAATTGTGTGCATTGGCTCTGGATCTTCACACAGAAGAGTTCCGTGTTATACCCTTTCCGTATGTTTGCTCGGAGTCAAACCAATTAGTAAACCTTGAAAACCGTCTAGCTATTGCTAAAACCAATATTTGGTTTGATTGAAAACTAGAGATAAGATGCTTGGATGCACAAAAGGAAACATGGTGCATGACTTACACCATAAGTCTTATGAGTATCACAACCCATCGACCGTGGAGGGTGTTGTTCAAGCCAATGGTGGTTTCTAAGCAAGTGAATCTTTTCTTCTATGACAGTAAGAAGAGATTGTTTAAATACTATCCAGAGACATATTCCCTCTGTTGCCTCTCTCTAGACATTTGCGTTATATCTCCTTTCGTTGAAAATTTGTTTTCACTTAACCTATCTTCTGGATTTCACTACGTAGACCACGCATCATGCTCCCGCATTTCTAAATTTTTTAGACCGATCGAATTTTTATTCTCACCATGTATTTTGCTTACTACCGCTCTAGCATCACTAGTAATTGTTGTCTAGGTCATGATATTGTTGAATTATACTTGTTGATTGTTAGTCTTTGTTAGCTTTAGCCGAAAACCGACGTATATAAGGCATGAACATTTCCCTACAGCTATTGCATGTGTCCAAATGTATGAAGTCTAGTATTGTTATTCATAGTTGTGTGAAAAAATTGTACAAGTGAAAAAAATAAAAATAAAAGGTAATATTCATGGAACTATTGTGACAAATTTTAAACTATTTCACTTTAAAGAATATAATTATAAATGAGATTGGCATTTCGATAATTAAGGACATAGTAAATAAATAGTTTATAATCATTTCGATTTGCTAATTTTATTTTAAGAATAGGTGATCAACCCAACATACATAAAAAAATAAATTATGATTTATGAATGGAGAGACGAAAATAGCAAACTAACAAACAATTCCTAAATACATCAAAAATTTCAAGATTTAATTACCTTTAGTTTCGTAATGCTTGCGTGATTAGGTTTGTAAACCGAAACAGTTTCTCAAATTTCGGAATGCTCTGGGTATTTAGTTAAAATCTCGTAATAACTTATTGAAACAATTTTTGCCCAAAAAAAAACTTATTGAAACAATTCTCAAAATGATATGGGCTTTATTTTTCTTTATATGAAAAACACAAATTATTTTATAACCATCTAAACCAAAGTGTTTTATTTAAAGAATATCTTATCGATTGTGGATGTCGGAATCCGCAATACAAATATTTGAGATTTGCACGGGTCTCTAGTCTCGATGATTTGAATATCGATTACAAAAATGACAATAGACTGTAAAGAAAAGTGTGTATTGATTCTCTCGGCCAAACTTTCGGTCCCTTTTACAATGTCGATTTGTTCTCATTTATAGCTACAAATTGCGAGACCCAACATAATAAATTTTGCCGTGACTTGCGCCTTTTTTATTACGCCCATTACGAATCTTTTTAGTCAACGAATTCCGTGATCAACATCTCTCCTTAATAATGTAAGATTCGTCCGTTACTCCGAAGTAGGTTTGGACGGGCCTTTTAGATGGGCCTAAGCGAACCCGGTTTCGATTATAAAAACTCATTTCATCCCCTAGACCCCTATGAATTTTGAAAATTCTAATACATTTTATTAAGAGTAATTATAATGACCCCAATGCCTTATAGTTTTTGACCCCATATCAAACTAATTCAACTACATGGAATAAAAAATTGTCATTAAAACAACAAAAGAGCCAAATAAGTTTGGTTCATTAGAATTTTAAACCAAATTCTAATGTAATAAAATTAAAAATCCTTGACTTATTTAAAATAAAGTTAACTAATGATCTAATATTATAATTATTTATAAAAAAAAACCACAATTTTTTTTGCTTTTGTTAATCTTTGTGGACCATAACAAAAAAAATTAAATATTAATTTGATTGATTTTCAGATTTTTTGTTTCTTATAGATTATTTCTAGACAAAACTAATAATAAATTTTATATAATATATTATTTTCTATTAAAAAAATTTGACCCCTATAACAAAATTTTCTAGCTCCGCCACTGGACACCAACATCGACCTACAAAATATTAGTTTTTAAGGTTTTTTTAAAAAATAGTCTAAAATCAATAAACCAACAAAATGACATTAGAATATTGCATAGCCTATCCTCACCGTCGAACTCATCAATAGTTTGTCAAATAAACTAGATAATTAAAATAAAACTCACAGTATGTTATGTATTCTCATAGATAATAAGAAACATATTTTATATTTACCAACAAAACTTTTGGCCAAATACTAGATCTTAATTTTAAAAATCAAGTGACCTAATGATTCTCGTCTTTCCACATTTGGTTAAACTAAAAGTAAAAAGCAATTTCCGCTTGGTAACATAAAAGAGGAAAGACTTTAAAGTACGAAGTAAAAGACTTTTAAAGTACGACGAAGTAAAAGACTTTAAAGTACGAAGTAAATTTCTTGGAGTATCTGAAGAGTAGATTTTATTAACTACGTAAATATCCCAGAAAATATATAGCAAAGATAATTGGGGTATTGAAAAGAAAAAAAAAGAGAGGAAAAAGATGGCTGAAGAAGAAAAAAAACCAAAGCCGATCTACCTATTTCCCGATCTACTGGAAGAGATTCTCCTCCGATTGCCCTTGCAATCCATCCTTAATTTCAAAATCGTCGCAAAACAATGGAGATCAATTCTGGAGTCAAGGAGGTTCGCGGAGAGGCGTGTGGAAATTCAAAAGAATCGAAAAATCCTGGCGGCCGTAGACCACGAGCCCGAGTCACGATTCGAAGGGGACGAAGAGATCGAGGTGTTCTATTTACACTGCGACTGCGATGACGTCGCCACACGACCCTCACTGACATGTGACGGTTTGGTTTGCATCCCCGTACCAGGCTGGGTCAATGTTTTGAACCTTTCAACCGGCGAATCCATTGGATTTCCTTCCGGTCCAGATCCAGTGACCAACTACTACGATTACCAACTTGCCTCAGGTAAATCTCTTTCTCTATATAAGAAAAAAATATGTTTGATTGTTCTTGTGATAAATATATATATATATGTCTTAGAAATTATTACTAATCGTAGGTTATTGGTGGAATACTTTCCCTGCATTTTGGGCGATGGGCTTCGGCAAGGACATAGTTAATGGGAGCTATAAAGTAGTGAGAATGTTTTTCGATCCTAACCATTATTGCGAGATTCTTGATGTCAACATTGGAGAATGGCGTAAACTATTGAATCCACCTCCTTATAAAGTGGATGCTAGAAGGAAGTCGGCGTGTGTGAATGGCTCCATCTACTGGTTAGAATTGCATGACAAATTGTGTGTATTGGCTCTGGATCTTCACACAGAAGTGTTCCGTGTTATACCATCTCCTCCTATTTGCTCAGAGTCAGACCAAGTAGTAAACCTTGAAAACCGTCTAGCTATTGCTAAAACCAATACCTGGTCTGATTGGAAACTAGAGATAAGGTGCTTGGATGCACAAGAAAAAACATGGAGCATGACTTACACGATAAGTCTTACGAGTATCGCAACCCCTCGACCGTGGAGGGTGTGGTTCAGGCCAATGGCGGTTTCTAAGCAAGGGAATCTTTTCTTCTATGACAGTAAGAAGAGGTTGTTTAAATATTATCCAGAGACATCTTCTCTTCGTTGCCTCTCTCTAGACATCTGCGTTATATCTCCTTTCGTTGAAAATTTGGTTTCTCTTCGTCCTTCCGGTTCTTATGTTCCCAAGACATCTGGTTCTCGACCTTCCGGATTTCCAAGTATCGATTCTCGAATTTCCAAAATTTTTAGGCAAATCCCGAATATTTTGCTTACCACCACTCTAGTGTCTTTAGTAGTTTTTCGATATTTTGTTGTTTCGTCTAAGTCTTGATGTTTTATGTACCCGTATGTTCTGTATCCATATTTTTTATGCTTTATACGTTTTACATGGATAATTTTCTTCATTTTATTCGTGTCAGTTTTTTTTAGAAATTGGCAATCAATAGACTCCCTATCTCTTGCTAGTTTGCCATTGTTTACTGTATTGAGAAACGATGGAGTATGTGTGTTTGGTCTTGAGAAACGTTTTCTCAGTCATCTAACTATATCAAATTTTTAAGAACCAAGAAAAAAACGATCTTTCATCATGGGATTGACTTTTTTGAATGAGGTGAGGCTTGATTATTCGGTCTTGCATATCATTTTTTTGTTTGAAAGGCTTGAAATTGTGCGTAAGTGTTTGTATTCTAGTTTTATATGGATCACACTCCGGCGGAAATCTTGAAGCAAATAACACATGCGTACAAAAGATATCAGAGTCCACAGGGCTGGGTTTCAGAATCGTAATCCTCACACTGAAAGTTTATTGAGTGATAAATCCAATGACGATGTTTATAGGGAAACGATGGAGCCTCACTTGGGAAGAACCGAAGAACAAAATCTAGTGATAATGATAATTTGAGTCGAGGTAGCTCTGTGAATCACCATGAGAGAGCTTGTGGTTCTCATCCGGTGAAGTGCTGGGAGCCAGTATAGAGGACATGTATAAAGAGAGAACTCGAGTCTTTTGTTTTCTTTATCCGATTTCTGGACTGTTGGTCAAGGAAGTATTATGCTCCATTGTCGAGGATTAGTTCTCTCGGTGAGCTCTAAGATTGATCAGTGGTAATCCTTTCTTTAGAATCAGTAAAGGATTAGGTTGCTCGTGAATGTTATGGAACAGTCAAATCGCGACAGATTTAGAGGTTGGAGATATAAAGATAAAGGCAAGCAAAATATTGAATTGATGATGAGTTTAATGCAAAGCTATGCAAAGCTCTCTGACTTTGGATTAGCTAAGCTCTTGAACTCGGGTGAGTGACACATCAGAACCAGGGTCATAGACGTCCTTCTAATGAGGTGAGGCTTGATTATTCGGTCTTGCTTTTGTTATCATATCAAGAAAAAAGGTATGAATCCGTTTCGTCGAATCTTGACTCTACAAAATAAAATCTATAACTTTGTGTACCTATCAAAAATAGTAAAAGACCAAAATAAAATTTATGCTCCTTCATTTCTGTTACAGGCAAACTATTTGTTTTGACCCAAAAAAAAAAATTGTAATTCACTCATCGATGACTAATAGTTTATTAAAAACATTTGGGTTATCTCTTCGCTTGTAAACATCACAACTTTCAAATTTTCAAAAATAACAAATTTTTTTTATTCATGATTTCTAGAGTTTAAATGTTGGAACATTTACAAACAATTGCTTAAAAAGAAGTAGTAGTAGTAGAATTGATTTGGTCTGACTGTTGTTTCCCAGCTTAAAGACTCATCATGTCTCTGCTGCTTTGATTTCATTCGATGAGAACATAGCCACTGGGATACAGACTACCTGCGTAAAAGATATGGATATAATCAACAATTATGTTTGACCAAAAAAAAAAAAAATCAACAATTATAGAGTGGTGACCCTTATAAAAAAACAATCATAGAGTCAAATCCATTGGGTGAAGAAGTGTCCATTTGCATAATGAAAACTAAACTTCCTCCAATTTCTTTATGTTATAAGATATAATTCTAGATCAAGAGAAAGGTAACTACCTATCATCGAGTTTTAATTAACTGATGAACGAATGAAGGATAACACTGATTCAAATTAGAAGAACAAACCTGGACTTCTGTAATGCACTAATGTTCAAGGTAAAGCCTTTAACGTGCAATGCAGTAACTACGCAAAAGAGTATTTCATCTTCTTCAGTCAAGGATAAACAGCTGATTGTCCCAACAGCTCAAACAACAATACTCCAGCAACTCTGACAGGAACATATCCAACATATAACAAGTTTGGTTAATTTCAGCTATATAACCAAAAGCACAGTCCACATTACAAAGCAACATATTCAGATTTTACTTCATAGAATATATGTTTCATTCCTTCACTTATATGCTTTCTTTCATCCCGCAGAGCAACTATTTTAGCCAGATGTAACCAATGTGCATTGCACAACAATGAGGCAATACCTTGATGGATAGCATCTACATGTCACCACTGAAGCTATCTTTGATTAATCATCATCGCTGAAGCTAAAGATTCGCTCTTTTCCTCAAATCAGTTGATTCCACGCTGCGGAGTGTGCTCCATTCGAGCTTCTTTATGGAGAGATTGCTCTAAAGCCCCTCATAGTCTTTGGAAGCCTGTAAAGACGTTAAGAGTAAAATAAGACATTTTTTTATCATTTAGAATGGGAGAAAGCGTCTTAATAAATGTAATGTAAGACGCTTATATTTGGGAGCAGCATATACTCAAAAGTTTTTTTTTAATCATTTTCTAGTCCAGTGATCTAATTTGAGTTTCAAAGCTTATATTTTGGACAACATTTAGGCAGATACACTAGAGAGAAATTTATCCATCACGCCTTCTAATTGTTCTATATTGCAAAGGATTTACCATTGGCTATAACTCTACAGACTAAATAAAGTGTGCCCATTGCTTAAGACTTTTCATTGGAATACGAAAGACATTTTCCACAAAAAAACACATTAGTGCTCATTAAACTGGTCTACAAATGTCCATTTCTAAAAGCTTTGCATAGTGAAACTAGAATTCCCCACAAAAAGTATTTTTTAAAACCAGACATAGTCTAAATAAAAGGCGGGATAGGCAACATAAGCAGGTCTAAGATTCTAATACAATCTAATCTCCCTGCCTTCTGCTAATATGGCCCTGCAAAAAAATTGATGAAAACAAATGGGAAAGTGTATAGTTTTAAGATATCGAAAATCTAAGATAAATGGAGGACAAAAAAAAAAACAGAAAACTTGAAGAGTTGAGTTTAAAATTCACCTTACCTCAGAGCAACATAAAAAGGAACATAATCAACTTCCAATTCCAAACCTCGCCTCCAGCCAAGTATTCCACCTATAAAAAGAACATCTACAGACATGAATACTTTAAGAGCTTAAACATCAATGAAAGAAATTACAGAAGCTTACCCAAAAGTAATTGTAGCAGGATCCTCTCCACGAGCAACTATTAACAGAAACCAATTATGAGTTAATTAGCTTTAATATTAATAAATTACTAAAAACAACAGCAGTCTAATAACCTCTTTTTGTGATGATCCCAAGACTCCTCCACGTTTGAGGATGCTTTCGACGATAGTTCAACACTATGTTAGTGCCAAAAGCAGCAGCTCCTGCAAGGCCAGTGGTAAACAGAACACCTCTGTTAACCCAAACGAACTCAAGTCCTGTTACACATAAAACCAATACATCAACAACGTATCAACAATATCTAAAACTTAAGTATCAAAAGACCATTAAAAACGATTTTTTTTAACCTCTTTTGAGATGAACAAGTGGATGTGGATTCTCCACTTTGGTAATGAAGTCCTTGAGAATCCTTTCCGTGAATTTTGTTCGAGACAAAATAGGGAGACCACTTAGAGCAGATGGGTTAAGAAATTTATTGCAGCCTTGAGCAGGGCAAATAAGAACGGCATTTCCCGCGTCCAAGAGAGTGTTAACATGGTCTATGCAATAAAAGAATCAAAGTTAGGGAATATTGTAAACAGATCAAGTAGGAAACTGAATAATTCGATTGATTAAAAGAGTTACATCAGAGGGACCTAAATAGACTAAGACTAACAACCTTAAACAAACTTACTAGAAATGCTGCGACTTCATCAGACGCCTCCTATAAGCTAGGGAGACTTATTCAAAACAATTTGACTAAGATAAATCCATAAAACAAGTGCTAAAGACTCGGTAACAGATAACGAAACCAGAGACTCTATTCTTCAGGAAGATGTTCTAAATCACAAGGGAGTAAAGAAAAATCAGATTTGTAACCTAACCTGTCAAACAATGCGGGCAAGCATGGTGTTGACAGTCGAGAACACCACATTCCCCAGTAAATCCACAGACTGAACAAAGTTGATTCTAGCAAAACAAAAACAAAACTTCAGTAATACTAAACGTTCAAACCTTTCAAAACCATAAAGTATAAGATAACTAACCTGAGCAACGTGAAAATCATTCTCAGGAAGAGAAGATCTCAGCATGCTTGAGAGGTTTGCGTTAGAAGTCAGATCAGCAATAATGTCTTCTTCCTTCCAGTTATAAAGAATAAGAAGAAACAGAGATCGATTCTCTTCTATGCCTAATCTGTTGGCAAGAGTGATGATTCTCTGTTTGACTACCGCACTCGAAACATTCTCAAGCTGAAAAAAAAGTTCAAAAACATTACGATGTTATCTCAGAATTGTTCCAAGACACAAATGTTGGATAAACATACCATGAGGTCTTGAATAAAAGCCATCGGAGATCAGAGAACAATGTGTTCCTGCGAAGTGGTTGGTTCTCCACCGGATCGTGCCGCCACTGAGGAAAGTATGAACGCCGATCTAGGGCGAGCAAAAACAATGATCCCGACTATTCGGGTCTTGTTTCATTTGGGCTTTATTTACTGGGCTTTTAATGGGTCTGGTTAGGTGTTGTCGTAAATTTTTATAATTAAGGAGTGAAATACTCCATTTTATATGTTTTGCTTAAACTACCATACTTTCTATTATTTAAAGAAGAAAAAAAAAATATTATTTTTACAAAGCCATATACACATTTATTTTTAAAATCTTAAGTTCATAGAGTTAATTAACCCGAAAACATGCTGATCATTTGTTTCTGAATGATAGATTGTGATTTGAGCTTCGAGGGTTGAAATAAAGACAAAACTCAAATTAATAAGATAATGATTCTTAGCAAAAATATACACAATCGGGTAATTTATAAACTGGATGCTTTTCTTGTATAATTGTTGGTGTATATTTATCTGTAAGGTTGCAGCTAGCCTTGCTTTCTTCCTCTCATGGGAATGCCTAAAATGAGTATGATCCATTTTCTTATAGACTTACTTTTTTTCTGACAATTATTAACAAACGCATGTTTGTGCTTCAACCAAAGAACAAGGCATGCTTATCCCCTATAATTCTTCCTTAAACATTTTTTTTTTTTTTTTTTGTTCGTTTTTGTTTTGTTTAACTCACTTTGAACACTTTATAAAGTTAACGTAACACTTGATTAAAATTAGATAATAATTTTATCATAAGGATAGGTTATGCAATCTTCTAAAAGTGTTTTTAATACTTTGATGATATATTGTAGATATGTATTTAAGGAAAGTGTGCTATGAACTATAATAATTCAGATATAAGTAAGGTTTGGTGCTACAAAAACCCCCCATTTTGAGTAATTTAAAGGTGGAATATGTCGTGTTTATAATAATCAGAATTTTAAAAGGACAAAAAATGGAAAGAGGAATGTGGTGCTTGATTAACGTCAATTAAGTTGGCTTTGTTATAAATTAGAAGAAAAAAATGAATTTTGGGGTTTTTGGTGGATAAGGACTTTCCTCTAAGATACGTTTTTGCGATGACATCAGTTTTCCAAGTTGTATCCATTTTTCTTGTCCCACGTAAAAGTCAAAAAAAGAGTCCGACATAGAAGAAGAAGTGGAAGATGTTTCCATGTTCCCAAACGGATATACATCAAAATTGTTACGACTTTTTTAAAATAGCATATCCACAAACGTCATAGTTCTCTAGTACGAGATTTTTCACAGTTTTAAACTTATAATTATGATATGGAGAGATCACATGGATTGACGAAATATGGTTACCGTCGTTAATTTTTGAGTTCAATAGTTTAAGAATGTCCCATCAAAGAATTTTATATGTTTATTGGAGTTTGATCTCACCCACATGCATAATTTGATATATCTTTCTCATTCCGGCATTTATTGAGGAATTTAGGCAGAGTGATGTGTTCCCATACCAAACTTTATCCGAATCATGCCATCTTATAAGTTAAACAATAGCTTAAAAAACACAAGGTGCTGAAAATTAATTCAATTACCAAGGAAATAAAAAATACTACTGTAATTGATGGTTCAGGTATCGTTGTCTGTTGAAGTCGTCTTTTAGTATTTGGTATTTTCGATTGAGTCTAGACAATTAAATACTAGTAATGTTTTAGAATGAGGCTCAACCGGTGCCGGTTATTGGCATGTGCAAGTGGTGCATTTGCACCGGATCCAACAAATTTAAGGTCCAAATTCATAGTTTTCCTATTATTTAACTATTTAATTATGCTGAAATTTTATAAAATATCTATATGTAAAGGTCCCAAAATATTATTTTAAAAGGTAATATTGAGGCCCAAAATTAGTAAACAAAAATAACAGATCCAAATAGCTATAAAATACAAAATAATTTATGAAATATAACTTTTTGTAAATTTTTTATTAAAGATAAGATTTTTTTTGTATGGCACCGGGTCTTACCGATGAGTAAGCCGGGCCTGGGCTCAACCAAAATCCTTAAAACTTCACATACAAAGAAAACTGAGATTTTGGTTTGGGCATGACATTTATCTATTGGAGTACAAGCCTTTTTCCTTAACTACCAAATTAATTATTGTTAATTTTATTATTTATATTATATGGTTTCTTGATTAAAAAAGGAATGGATAATGGATAATGGTCGGATAATGCGGCCGGAGACATGCTTCATTCCCAGGAAACCTGTTTTTGATAGCTCAACTTTTGTTGACTCCTCCTTTTCTTTTCTTTTTTATGATTTCAATTTTCATAACAATACTCATGAGTTTATCCACAAACAAGAATATTACTAAAACCCCTTTGTTTTCCCATTGATACAATTATATAAAGTAAAGAAATACTATTACACAACTTTATTTTATTTAAACGAATCCAATGAAGAAACATAGAAATGTGTCTTTCTCTAAAACAAACGCACTTGATCATCCAATCTCACTGTAAAAAAAAAAAAGGATAAAGAGCATTTTGATCACGGAAAATGCCTTTTTCATATCTTACGAATTTTAGAATGTTTTACTGCTAGATGCTAATTGTCATTTTAATTTAATTTTTGTGTCAATTATACTCTTAATAATAAAGTCGATGAGGACATTTTAGTTTTTTTGTTCATTTATTTAGATGTCATTGCAAAGAATTAGAAGAATAAATAAATTGAATTAAGACAGATGCCGATTATAGCAACAACTAAGGAAAAAAATGTTTGTGTTCTTCGACCAAAAATAAATAAAAATAAAGGTAGTTGGTGATGGCCATTGGCCCATCCAAGTGGATTAATCAGCGACTTAGATAAACGTGAAAGCCAATCAGAGTTCCAGCTGTCATGCCACGTGTATTCATGTTCTTGGAACCGTTAACTAGCTCTGGTTCGACCACGTGGCAGTTGAGAACAGATAAGAGTTTTTGGACCAAGTTGGTGTGAATGCCACATGACGAATCCCACGTGTCATTTTCTTACGCGCGAATCCACCTCATTGGTTGCCCAAACGGATGGAAGCCAGGCCCCGATTTAGACTCCATTCCTTTTATTTATTTTTGGAATTTCACATTTTTTTAGTATATCTTTTTCATGTCGACAAAATTATTCCAAGTCAAAAATAAGAAATTAGTTCCATAATCTTATGTGCATAGTAGTGTATGTTGATTTTTCTAAGTGCGTCAATGTAAACGTGAGACTTAAAAATGTTTGCTTTTACTTTTTAGCCATTTTCATACATCAAAACATGCAATGATCTATTTTTCTCTGTCATGTATATTCTTATAGCGTTATTAATCCAATATAATACTAATAAACAATAATTAGAATTTCTTTTTTTGTTCTTTCTAGTGGAATATACGATGTCACTGTTTTTCTTTTTGTATAAATAAACGTTTGGAGAAGAAGTATAAGAAAAAAAGACTATGTACTATACAAAGGCCAAATCAACTTTTTTAAAAAGAGTGGGAGAGACTTATCGTAAACATGAAAGGAATTCTAATAAGTAACACCATATCCTTTTGATAATACTTATATAACCCATCCTATATTAATATCCATTCCTAAAGAAGTAATGAATACTTTTTGCGTAACTCATTTGTTACTATCAAGAATAGGGGTGAGATAGACAGATTCAAATTTTCCTAATGATCTTTCGTTATGTGCACGTGAAATCTTACTACAAAAGTCATAATCCTATGAGACGTAATAATTTAGGTTGAACATAGGAAAAAATGGGGACAATAAAAAATATTTGACCATATATAAAATGTGAATGTTTTGTATAATTAATATGGACCGGTGGTTGCTTTTTCATATCATGATCATATCTAAATGGAATAAATTGCGAGTCTTTATCTCTATCACTAACCAGATATATCGATGAGATATATTCTTTTATACATGCACTAATTTTCTTTTTCTTCAAAAGATGACTTATTTAGTTATTTGAATTCAAAGTTAAGGAATGAGGAAGCATCCAAGGAAACATAAATTAAGCAGACTGTCTACAAACCTCTTCGCATACTTTTCATATGTTTTTTTTTTCTGGTTTTAAATGTAATAAATAGTAAGGGGTGGTAAATTAAATAATATGAATGGTGGAATACTGGAGTAACGAAAAAAATATAGCTAAATAGAGTGTGTTTATGACATATATTCTTATAAGAGCCATACAAGTACCAAACAAGAATCAGGATGAAGACGCCCAACACTATGCCAATGAATTCTGACCAATAATACTTAACTATGGTCATCATCTTCTTCACCACACCACCAATCTCCAATCCTTCTAAACTTTGTTTTTCTTCTTCTTTTTTCTCGTGTACAGATTATACTTAAGTATATATACATGTATTGTCGACACCAACTTTACATATTTGTCAATGCATCAGCAACATTTGGTAAGTTTATATTTTTCATTAAGGAACATAAACTATGGAAGATTCGAAATTTTACATTTTTGTAAACACATCAAGTTTACATTTTTTCATTAAGGAACATTTGCATTAGGAAGAATTCAAAATTTTATATTTTGCATTTAGGAAGAATTTCAAAATTGGAAATGCTTACATTTATGGTGTTTTATTGATTGTTTGTCACATCGTAAGATTCTTTCTAAAATACTCCAAAAACTGAAATTGTGATATTTACTACTAGTAATCATATCTTTGTTAGATATGTATTTCATTATTCGTTGAGATTATCTTGAAAAATGGTCCATTTCAGATAATTTCTACTTATAATAATGTTAATGTAATTTGTATGGCCGGTGGTTGCTTGTTTCATATATTGATGGTTTACATAAAAAAAAGAGATCATTGATATCTAAAAAGAATGAATTGCGAGTCTATATCTATCACTAACCAAATATGTGGATGTGATATATTCTTTTATATATGCACTAAATTTCTTTTTGCTCAAAGGATGACTTATTTAGTTATTTGAATTCAAAGTTAAGGAACGAGGAAGCATCCAAGGAAAAAAATAAAATAAGCAGACAATCGTTTTTTTTTTGGTCAACTGGAATTATATTGAAGAACAGTGATGAAACATCAACAACCATCAAGTTACAA